TAACCTGTATAGATGAATAATTACAGTATCAACTTATCGGTATTCAAGAATTTTTTTTGTGTTCGCGTTCTCTCCGAATTCTGAGAGTTAACAGTCTAGATTTGAGTGCACCGAATCTGCCTTTCTGTTAAACACTTCTTTCTTTGTATATATTTCTTCCTCAGAATCCGTAGATCACATGAATACAGATCGATCGATCAAAATTTTTTTATCACTTCTATTGTGTAATCCCAATGTTGAGTCTCATTTAATGAGTTGTGCTATATGTTAAACAAGATTAATTGGTAGGCTGTTGCAGAGCGGGTGGTTCAATGATAAATGTCTTTGGAGGCTTCTTACTTTATTGTTAAGTCGTAGTGGGTACACAGGCTTGTGTGTTGTGCCCATGGCCCGGGCAGGGCTATCCCACGAGAGCTAGGAGTAGGCCTTGTGTCTTCCTGCTAGGCCGCTGTGAGAGAGAGTGAGGCAAGTCTGGGCATACTGAAGTGGCAACGCCTATAGGTGGCAGCACCAGTATGGCGAAAAATATGAACTAAGCTGGCAGACAGCATAAGCTGTCTGTGCAGACAGTACAGGCTGTCTACATACGCTCGGCCACCTACCTTGCGTCGTCCCGACGCGACAATACTGGTGGTAAAAGAAACTCGATCTCTCTCTCGTAGGAACAGGGCACAGAACACAAAATAAAAACATATATATACATATGGACATGGAAAAAAACTTCCTACAGGGAGGGAAGAAAAAAACATGTGGGGTGTGCTAAACATCATGCTCATAGGCAGTGAGCGTCGAAGGGCATCACTGCACGCCTTCCTGCGTCTGGACAGATACTGCAACACAGGAGACATCGCTGTGGCTGAGCTGTGATGTAACAGGGTACGGTCTGCTCTGGAACGGTGAAGCAGTCATTGTAGGAGTCGCTGCAGGTTTCACTCAACCTGGGGCACGACATGCTGGTGCCCTCGAGTGAGGCGTCGACAAAACTCGGCAACTGGGCAGGACTTCTGGCAAGCAACTCAGGAGGACACTTCTTGACTGGTACTGTCGCTGGGCTGTCACTGCCGGCGAGCGTGGAGCGAGTCGTGGCAGAGACGACTAGGCGAAACATCTGGGAGTCGTAACATCATACACCAGACTGCAGTGAGAGAGCTAGCAGTCAAAGTGACATCATCTTTGTGCAGGCTGTTCACTGAAGCTTGTGACACGAGGATGACACAGCACCTGCCGACAGGGCTAACTGTGGCTTGACGAGTGTCATTCTCTGGACAGTTGGAGTTATAGCAAAGGCTAGTCTAAGCATCCCCAGACTTGTTTCTCTACATATAACTGCTTTCTGAAGGTCTGGAGGTAAAGTGAAACAAATCTCGATGGGAATCGTAGCAGGTACGATTCTGCAGAACATCTATGAGCGACGAGCATAAGAGCTTTCTGCACAAAGAGGGCTCGGGGCTCAAGAGCTGACTGATAACAACTGGCAAACGCACTGGTCACACGGGTGACTTAACACAGTGGTGCTATTCAGGTCTGGCTCAGACCTCACTGGACACACGGAAACTTCACACACTCGCGGTACACTAACATGTGAGAACACTGACTGAGAGGAATTAATTAACACACAACATATTTTCTCTCAATCTTCTCGACAATACTGAAATAATTACTAGAAACACTCGATGTGACATCATGTGATGTCAGGTGTGATGTTGCGAGGTGACATCAGCAGCACTGTGACGTCAGCAGACATCTTGAGGTGATGTCAGGCAGACATCGTGATGTCATGAAGTCGGGGAGCATCGTCGGTGACGTCAATGTGATGCAGGCAGCAGACCACAGCATGAGGCCTGGGACATCTGGCTTGGTAACTCACGTGACTTGTAGATCCACGTGACATCGCCCACACCCAACGTGGCGTCATGATCCACATGGCGTCATGATCTACATGGCATGCTGATCCACGTAGCTTCGAGTGACCTCGGGCACTCGGATACACAGCTCTGGCAATGAATTCACATGAAAAACAGCAGAGAACACAACAGAGGGAGTGAGCAGGGATGAGTGGTGTATGGTAGGCTGGCGAGGTGTGAGAGTACAGCAGGGCGAGGCAAGAAGCGGCCACTTCCTCCTCCCACAAAAACGTGGAGAAGCTCACACTGGATGCAAAAATCGCCACAAAACTCACCTCTGGCTTGCTGAAACAGCTGTGCTGAGCTGAACAACAACAGCAACATACAAGTGACGCTGAACTCGTGACTTGAGAAACAGCGAGGGACGCTGTAGCGTGGGGTCACTGGGACGCCACTTACTGTGGAAAATTTTTTAATTTTCCGAAACTATAGTGCCTAATAGGTGTTTAATGTGTCTATATGGGTCAAAAATGTATTTGAAAATAAGAGTAGAACCAAGAGTTCCCTTTGCGCATGCGCGGATGTGCGGGGGGGAGAGGCGCGGATTGTTTTGAATGTGGTGAAGAAGCTGAGAAAGCATGGAACCACGAAATTGACATTCACGGCGGCCTAAGGATTAATATAGGCCTCATTTCATAATAAGAAGTGTCGTAACTGTTCCTGGTGGAGAGTGAGGGAACGTGATTTATGGGACCATGGTAATAGAGTGGTAAAAAGTGTGATAAGAGTAGGACGGGTGGCAGGCGCACGGCCAGGTGTTTCCAGGGGAATACCCGTGTGTTAATCCTTGCTCATCGGCCTCAGATCTTAATGGAGTGACCTCTAATTTGTATAATAGTTATGGACGTTAAATCGTCTTGTGAATGGTAATGTAATCAGTGATAATAACATTGAGTTAGAGAATGCGGGATGTGAAATAGAGCGCCTTGCTCCGAGTGAACGTGTGACTCTCGTACCGGGGATAATGGAGATTTATGGAATCACGACTTCTAACCGGAACAAACCGACGGATACCTGTCCTGCCGGAATGAGAACCGTGTCGGTGTAGCAGGACATCGAAACTGAGATGGTGAATGGAAGAAATAAGGAGTATCAATCACCCACAGTTAAGTAACCCTTCTAGTTATAACAAACCTATGCTGGCCAGTGGTGTTATGTTGTAATTAGATAGGTTATGAGTGATCCAACTACATCAAGTGACCCACCAGAGAACATCTGGTAAGTGGTGGGTATTATGTATAAATGTTTTCCTTGATGGATGTATCCAGGTGTATCCTACCCCCCTCCCCTTCATTCAGCTAAACTAATATAATCTATACAGTCCACAATTAATTAGTAGCACCGTACTTGTGGGTGCTACCCAATCCATACTGGTCTCGGATAGATATGGATAAGATTGTGAGGTCGAGGGGACCACTTGGTGCGACCAGGGGTGGTTAAGTTTTCTCACATGTCTACACGGGGTGACTACGGTAAACAATATGATTGTCTCCCAATGAGATTACTGGTATGTATATAATGTTGAGGTACATACAGGTAAGCACCCTAGAAAATTTTCCATACTTACAATTCTCGAAGAAATTCGGTAAATTTCGGCTGGATCCTGCTTGTACCTGTGCCTGGATGCTCAAATGTGCACACACGACATCAGAATAACTTGTTGAGAGACGGATGTTTGTTGTGTAGGGGGATGAAGTGAACAACTTCATTCCTTCCTTCCTCTCTCTGGGCAAACACACTGCTGCGACCACCGCTTTCCATCATTTATAAAAAAAGGATTATTTGGTGTTCTGGTAGCGGGGAGTAAATGATACGTCTTCAGAGACTTCTTACTTTATTAAGTCATGGTGGGTACACAGGCTTGTGTGTTGTGCCCATGGCCCGGGCAGGGCCATCCCACGAGAGAGAGCTAGGAGTAGGCCTTGTGTCTTCCTGCTAGGCCGCTGTGAGAGTGAGGCAAAGGCAGGCAGGTTGAAGTGGCAACGCCTATAGGTGGCAGCACCAGCATGGCGCGAAATATGAACTAAGCTGGCAGACAGCATAGGCTGTCTGTCTATGTATATTATACCTTATAATGCATTACAGTTTCATTACAGTAAGTTTCATTATAGTCAATTACGTAAGCTTCCATTCCAATATTCTCCTTATGTTATAATGTTCAATTGTTGTGTACTTTGACATTGTATAGAATCAGCCCAAGCCGTACGCCTGCCGTCTCTAGTTTGTATTAGCTGTATGTCGGGACAACATATGTTAGCATCGCCGAGCTCTCGGCAGTACCAGTTACCAGTAACCAGTTACCAGTAACCAGTTACCAGTAGATGACTCACTACCAACCGTCTGTGTGAATCACTGACTGCTATTCACGTTGCTGCTGACCATAGCATGTTTTTGAATGCCGTTCGCCCGCTAGGCACTGGTGGGTCAGTCTGAGATAGAGAGCAGAGAGAGGCAGGGCGGCCGATGGCGTTTCCCATACTTTCCGTTATAATTATATGTACTAACCAGCCTACGTAAGTGTTTTTACCCCATCCACGTTATCGAACCCACATGGCACCGTGGTCAGTTGGTATTTATGCCTCACTTCTACTTAGTCGAAATTCAAGGGAATTTCACGATGATGCATTTCTTGAAGACAGATAAGAATATATTGGTATCTTTCTTAAGTAAGACGGTAAGGTTCTGAAACAGAAAGTATATACTGATTTAATTATGTCTTGGCAAACTCCTGAATTTCGGTGGGAATATTTTGCATAATCTACCATGACTTCGGTATTTGTAAAGGTAGGTACAAAAGTCCTGTTAGCTAAATGTGAAGCTGAAACCTTTTAAAAGTTTTGCAGTTTGATAAAACTGCTCAACTTTCTCCCAAGAAAACGTCACATAAAAAATCTTATAAACCAGTCGTAATTTATATTATATACATACTTTTAATTAATGTAATATTTTATATTTCTCTTATATTTCGTTTCCATTTTAGGTTACATGGTCTGAGACCGGACCTTAGAGGCGAGGATTCCTGGAACCATTACCAGAAAACCAAAAGAAACCTCTATGTTTACCGCAGGAGTCGCTAATCAGTGAGTGTTTTTCTAGCAGGGCGTTCGTGAACCTGACCTTGCCATCCGCCTCACCTCAGCCAACAAGAAGAAAGATGATGAAGTGGCTTACAACTTTAAGACGGGATTGTATGAGGTCGTTCATGAGAACGATCCGCTGCTACACCTCCTTACACTGCCCTCACGTATTATCCATAAAAGCGAAGCGCCGCCCACAGCCATTACTCTGCCGCCCGTCGTCCAAGAATCCTCCGGTAAGAACTGCAGACACGTTTTCCATGTTAATGTTTATATAGGTTTGCTAGGTTGGGTCCTGGCCAGGGTCTTCTCCATGTGGTGACCCAGCAACAGCGTTTCCCATGTTTACATGTGTATTTATAGCAGTCGGCTCACAGTCAACGGGCCTCGGCTTTGTTTCAGCGAGCCAAGAAATGTGACAGTCTTCTTACATTAGTGACCCTCTTGTAACTACCAGTAAATAATTACATAGAAATTAATTATCTATGTATTTAACCTACTGGAAAGAAGCGACTGACATTAGTTAATATGTTTTTATGGATTAATAATACAAAGAAAGCCTCACCATGGGTACTGTTCACCAGTACCCATGGTGACCTGCCATAACAGATGTAAGGAGACTTGTACACACGTGGGTTACAGTCTGGCCAGGGAGACAAGTGTAAGAAGACTTGCACACTTGTGGGTTGCAGTCTGGCAAGGGAGAGACAAGTGTAAGAAGACTTGCACACTTGTCTCTCCCTGGCCAGACTGCAACCCACAAATGTAAGAAGACTTGCACACTTGTCTCTCCCTGGCCAGACTGCAACCCACAAGTGTAAGAAGACTTACACACTTGTCTCTTCCTGGCCAGACTGCAACCCACAAGTGTAAGAAGACTTGCACACTTGTCTCTCCCTGTCCAGACTGCAACCCACAAGTGTAAGAAGACTTGCACACTTGTCTCTCCCTGGCCAGACTGCAACCCACAAGTGTAAGAAGACTTGCACACTTGTCTCTCCCTGGCCAGACTGCAACCCACAAGTGTAAGAAGACTTGCACACTTGTCTCTCCCTGTCCAGACTGTAACCCACAAGTCAACTGGCCCATGCTTGGCAGGTACATGTCAAATCCAAACCCACTAACAAAAATATTCGCCCAAGACTGTTCAACTGCCTCCCAGCATACATAAGGGGGATTACCAATAGACCCCTGGCTGTCTTTAAGAAGGCACTGGACAGGCACCTAAAGTCAGTACTGACCAACCGGGCTGTGGTTCGTACGTCAGCTTGCGTGCGTCCAACAGTAACAGCCTGGTTGACCAGACTCTGATCCACCATGAGGCCTGGTCTCAGACCGAGCCGCGGGGGCGTTGACTCGCGAAACCCTCTCCAGGTAAACTCATCAACGTTTAGCCAGGAATTCTATTCGCTATATTGTGAACACCTAAGTATTGTTTTCTTGGTTTTTAGATCACTGGAAGCCACAACCACTAAATCTTTTTCGCATTCAGAGTGATTAAGATCTATATTATTTACATTAAAAACACCATAGTTATTTTATTTGTAAAGGCTTAGAACTTTGCGCTTGTCTATATTTAAGTGCATCTGCTACTTCTCCGACCACTGCGTCAGTACCTTCCAGAAATTACATTTCGTACTGTCGAACAGTAACCTCACGAGTTTTTCTTTATTATACAATATGGTAAAAATATCGTACCATAATTGTGTATCTTTCCCTTAATTCTTAAGAAAAGAATTTTGCAAACTAAGCGAGATAAACCATTCTACCTCTTTTGGCTTTTATAGACAACTGAGCACTATGTAATATGAAACTTCTAATATAGGGACCATTAATTCTAACAGTGGTAGTAATGAGTTTGCTTTACTGTAGATGGCACTTCCTAAACGGGAATAATAAATTCAGCATTTATTCAAGCATTAAAACACACACACACACACACACACACACACAACACACATCAGCAGCAGCAGAAACAGCAGCAGCAGCAGTAGTAGCTGCTGCGACAAAGGTACAAAGTCTTGAGTATCATAGGGAGCTGAGGAGGTAACTGGAGGAGATGAAGGAAAGGAACAATGAAATGTGAGCAGGTATAGTTACAGCATGTATGGACACGAAAGGAAGAGAGGTGGGAACAAATAAGACCTTTCGTGGAAATTCTCTCGAGTATCCAGGAGGTACAAGGGATAATAAGGGAAACAGGAAAGGAGTTGCTGAACTCAGAAATCTAGTGGGAAAAATAGTGGGGAAGGAGAGAGAGGGATTGTTGATTATCTACTGGCTTCAGGAAGCTGCAAGAAGGACCCATAATGAGATATGGATGGTGCTGTTACCTGGAGACTCAAACCATTATCAAACTTACAGGTGGGAAGTCTGAAGTGTCACAGGTGACAAGTTTTTAGAAACTTGGAAAGAGCTCGAGGGTAAAACACTTCCAGTCAATTTAGTAAGTAAGTAAGTAAGTAAATAATTTGACCTTTACAACAGAGATGGCATGAGACAGAACTATACAATGGAAATCACGGTTAAGAAAGACAAAAAAAATATTAATAGGTGTACTTCAGACAGAATAAGGAGAGGAAATAAGAATACAGAGAATGAAAGCATGAAAGCAAAGACGCCAGAAGCAAAAAGGAAAGAACAGGGCATGCATCAACGAGTGTGAAATATCTGGATCCAGAGAAACGATATGCACATCCACGTACCTAGCCCCCCCCCCCTCATGTCCTAGCACACACTCCCAAACATAATCCCGAAAAGCCATGTGTCATCTCCTCCCTACACTGACAGTCCTCACTTCCCTCTCCAAGGGTAAGAACCTTCCTCACAACTGACCTAAACCCCAACACCCAGACCCTAAACACCCTTATACCCCAATCTTCCTAATTCTATCTACATTCAAGATCTTGACCATCCACTGCAGAACACTCAGTACCCTCACACCACCTACTCTCACCCACTTAACCAATGTGAAAGAACCAGAAATTCAGGTTTCTGAGAACTGAATGGAAACGTATCTGAATAAATGTAGTGAACTAGTAGTGGATGCCTCCAAGAGCACTCAGAAGAAAAAGTTACATTCCAAAACCAAACAGCAGGGGGAGTTGTATGACAGCTCTAGGACTTTTGTGTTGCAATCAGCACATCTTCAGGTGCTTGCAATGTTGCAGAAATGAGTAGAAAGCCCAGGGTTGATTCGTTCAGAGGAACATCTTTAGCTAAAATGAGATGGCATCAAGCAGGCTAGTGCCAGGTGCCAGAGAAATGAAGACAAATATTTAAACACTAGAAGAAGACATATAAAAGCCCATCAGTATTGAATATTTAGTAATAATGAAACAATCAAAACATTAGTAACATATCTGTTATCATCACCTTGCCGTCACACTCCTTGCCGTCACACTCCTTGCCGTCACACTCCTTGCCGTCACACTCCTTACCATTATAAAAGACTAACAGTCTGATCTCAAAAGTGTCTGGCATACATCAGCAGGAAAATTCCCTTTATCGCACAAAAATAAGGGTCTAAGGGAAAGAGGCAAGAGGGAAAACGATCCTGAATTCACAAACTGACCTACCTGACCCTTAGGTAAATGCAATTTTATCCGTGGGAGCAGTAGAACACGAGTACTGTTCAATATGTCAGTGTAGAACTGCATTTAAGAACATAAGAACATAAGGAGGAACACTGCAGCAGGCCTGTTAGCCCATACTAGGCAGGTCCTTACAATTCATCCCACTAACAAACATTTGTCCAATGAGTCCAGGTAAGAATCCTGGAGTATACCTAGAGAGGGTTTCGGGGTCAACGCCCCCGGGGTCCGGTCTCAGATCAGGCCTCGTGGTGGATCAGGGCCTGATCAACCAGGCCGTTACTGCTGGCCGCACGTAAACCAACGTACTAATCACAGCCCGGCTGATCATGTACTGACTTTAGGTGCCTGACCAGCGCCTTCTTGAGGACAGCCAGGAGTCTATTGGTAATCTGGCTTCATATTGTCTACAATGCCTTAGTTATAAAGGAACTGAGCTGAAATAATCCACCAGGAGGCCTGGTCACAGACCGGGCCGCGGGGGCTTTGACCCCCGGAACTCTCTCCAGGTAAACTCCAGGTAATATACTGAACGTTTATCATATTTTATAATTGCCGATTCTAAAATATTTCTTTACAACCAAGAGGAGCAAGGAACATGACTCTGGCTTCTGATCAATTTGCAGAGTTATTACAAGCACATGTGTAGTTAAAAGACATGTATAATTATTGCACAGTTTGTATCAAATATCAGTGTTGTGTTAACCTGACATCTAGAGGTTTGCCGGTCTGTCCCATGTAAGATAAGTTGCAGCCATTACTGTCCTGTAGACATCACCAACACAGTGCTTAAGGATATTCCTTGTCAAAACGCTTTTCACCATCCATGAATTCTTAAAAACTACTTTTATGTTGATAAGTTTTCTTTGCTGTCAGCAGCGCTGTTACTATAAACTCCTTACTTAGGGTATAATAGTTTTGTGACAATATCAAATAGTTCCCTAGTTTCTTCATTGAAAAACAGTGGGCTGGACACTCTGCAAGTTCTCACAAACACAGTGAGAAAGACACTCGTTTTTACTCTTGTCTCGTGGTTACAATACTAGTGAATGTACAAACAAACATTAAAAACCTTCCTATATACTGTGAACTTAAACGTCCTGTCAACCTGGTGTATCAGTACATCTAAGAATGAAAGATTAGATTCCACCTCTCACCCCAACACCAGGCAAGAACGTTAGTCTCGAGAAAAATGCATCCGGTTCCATATCATTCATCCAAAGACTAGAGATATTATTCACTTATTCATGTGCTTTTAAACAGGTTGACCTCGTAAGCACTATATACGGATTGCTTAATAGGGAAGGCAGCGGATTTTCCATAGTCATTCCCTGCCTTTTACCATAATATTTCCCTTCAAACTCAAACTTGCAATCAGTTACATGTAAATCATGGTACGGGTGGGGTTAGAACCCATGACAAGAGAGTCGTAAAACTCCAGGCTAGATTTACAACTCACTTGCTAAGGCTTGTAACACCTGTACAAGGCTTGTAACACCTGTACAAGGCTTGTAACACCTGTACAAGGCTTGTAACACCTGTACAAGGCTTGTAACACCTGTACAAGGCTTGTAATACTGTACAAGGCTTGTAACACCTGTACAAGGCTTGTAATACTGTACAAGGCTTGTAACACCTGTACAAGGCTTGTAATACTGTACAAGGCTTGTAACACCTGTACAAGGCTTGTAATACTGTACAAGGCTTGTAACACCTGTACAAGGCTTGTAATACTGTACAAGGCTTGTAACACCTGTACAAGGCTTGTAATACTGTACAAGGCTTGTAACACATGTACAACGCTTGTAACACCTGTGCAAGGCTTGTAACATTTACAAGACTTGTAGCATATGTACAAGCCTTGTAACACATGTACAAGACTTGTAACACCTGTACAAGGCTTGTAACACCTGTACAAGGCTTGTAACACTTGTACAAAGCTTGTAACACCTGTACAAGACTTGGGACACATGTATAAGGCTTGTAACACATGTACAAGGCTTGTAACATGTACAAGGCTTGTAACACATGTACAAGGCTTGTAACACATGTACAAGGCTTGTAACACATGTACAAGGCTTGTAACACATGTACAAGGCTTGTAACACATGTACAAGGCTTGTAACACCACCTGTACAGTGATTTGTTTGCAGTTGTGTTATCGTGAGAACTTCACGCACGTTAATGAGAGTGTTCTTAATGAATATCATGAACTCATCTAATTCATCTTCCAGATAAGATAACAGATAGGGAACAGGAACTCTGATGAATAAGTCCGTGACATTAAAACTTACTAATGTATAATCAATAATGTTAACATTCTGCGGTTTGTTAACGAGGTCAACGTTGTTTTATGTGGGTTTCAGAGATGTTGCCAAGCATTGGAATTAATTCTTTTACCAACCATATTGATAGGACATATATACGTCACCGACCCCACCCAGCTAATAAGAGGTCTCGCTGGAACACCGGGCTTGTGGGTCTTAATCAGACCGTACGTATAAGGGTGTGTCGCCGACCTAGCTAATAGCTGTTTAATTAGTTCATCATAACCTCTCAGTAAGCTTCTAAGTTGTTTATTATTCTTACTAATAACTTAGTCCAGAGGGTTGTTATTATGGGGTATGTAAGTTTCCCTGTCTTCTAAAAGTATGTTCACTTTTCAATTGTAATCTACCTTATCCATAATTATTATCGCATTTGCTTTGTCTGTTTTCGTAAGGTAAGGTCTAGGATCTGTCCTTAATTCATGGAACAACTCGCCATATCTGTGAGGACAATTCGGTTCCACAGATCTGAGCAAAACCCCACATACGATTCCTTTGAAAATGTTGAACGTTCTGTGGATAGGTCCCCTTGTCAACATTTATGATGAAACAGAAGGGAGACCACATTTTTCATCAGGAAGCTGGTGTTATGTCCTTGCTGCCATTGAAGTCTGCAGCTTGCATGTTAATACAGAGGTACTAGTGTTCGTGCATAGCTTGATCAACATCATTTCCAGGTGATTGGTACTGGCAACATTAATGAACAGGATATGTACACTCTTAGAAAAGCACATGGTAACACCTCCCTGTCTTTGTCTGTTTCTTCTCATCCATGAAGTGTAGCCAGCAATGCTAGCAAAATTTTCCCGAGTCCTTTCGTTCAAAAATGTCTTAACAGCGATCATGTCGGGACCTTGAATGTTCACGAAACTGTGCGTGAGCTCACGAACAGGCAGACAGGATGCTGATAGATTACCTCTGCATTATTGTTTTCAGCTCGATTAGATAGATGTGAAAGATGCGTGAGAGAGGAGGACACTTGGGCAGCCGCTGGGACTCGGTTCTGTGGTCTTATATAAGGCACAAAACCACCTGCTGAACCGAGATGGGTGCATCTGGGTGGTGACGTGTCAGTATGTTCACCAATACTGAGATTCTGCTGGCTTGTTCGCGCAATAAATCTCTAAAGAGCTGGTGGTTCTTTTCTGTCAATTTCCCGTTTGCTACGACAGTGGTCTTCTTTACGGTGCCCCGCGGCCTGGAAGCAAAAGCTCTTGCTTCACATGGTGAGTGTCCGGATTCGATTCCTGGCGAGGGTTGAAATATTGAACGTGTTTTTTTTTACACCGGTTGTCTATGTTCATCAATCTGTATAAAGTGGGTACCTGGATGTTAGTGGACTGGTGTGGGTCGCATCCTGGGACAAAACCTAATTTGCCCGAAATACTTTGCATAACAAGCGACTTTCTGTGTAGTTGTATGTCACTGATGTCAGCTAGACCTGTATACCTTGTGCATGTACTTGTAGAATAAAAATATTATTATTGATGCCTCTTTTGTGGCAGTAACTGCAGCTGATATCTCGTAGACAGTTATCAGTAGCGTACCCTCTTTCGGCGACCATGGAAGAAATGCCTAGGTGCCTGGGAGGGTGATCTA